CTGCAAAGAAGAAATCTCTTGTTAAGGGGGAGAAGAAAGCTCTTTCCAAGGGGGAGAAGAAGACTGGGTCTACTGAAGAAAAAAAGTCAAAGAAGGCTGCTGCTACTGCTAAGGAAAAAGGTAAAGAGAAGATTGTTGCCGCTAAGGACAAAGGAAAGGAAAAGGTTGTGGAAGAAGATGAAGGTTCTGAAGAAGGAGAGGATGAAGAAGCTGGGTCTGATACCGAGGATGAGGAAGAGGAAGCAAGCTCAGATGAAGGGACTGAGGCTGGTGCTGAAGAAGATTCTGCATAGCTATCTCCCAGCAGGACTTTCATTTGCCTTTTGTTATAAAACTCTGTTTTGTGTGTTTTGCTTGAACTTCTTCCCTTATGTTTTATTATCTTGCGTTTGATGAACTTTTGTGGGATATTTTGTGAACTAATGTGCTGGTATTCAGGTATTTGAAGTTGTTCCTAAGAACAACACATGTGTGATATTAGTATTCTTAGGAAGTTGTGTATTCTGCAGTTTTTGTATTTGTTTCATCTTTGCAGGTTCATGGTTTTTTATTTATCTGCCAAAGGGGGAGATTGAAAGTGCTGAAGATGCAATAAATCGATGAACCTTCTGATGTTCACAGAGACCAAAAATTTACGAAAGTATTTAAGGGAAGTTTATTTTTGGTATGAATAAGTCTTAATTTTAATTAAGTCCAAAGGACTGATTATTTATATTTTATTATGGCAGGACTTTGGGATTGAGGGGGAGATACGCTTTCCATAATCTAAAGAGAAGGAGAATCGCAAGATTCACCTTCCATAATCGAAGAAGGAGAATCGCGAGATTATCATTCCTTATATGCGTTTGTCTTGGATGAGAAGATTTTCCAAAAAGGATGCTGAAGATAAAAGGAGGATGAGACCAGAGTTGAGGACGACTTTTGATATCTTTTTGTTAGTTATTTTTCTTTCGGTGAGTAAAAAAAAAAAAGAGTGATATCTAGAACATTTTGTAAAAGAACATTTGGAGGTTCGTTCTTATAGTTTGAGGGATTCGAACTAAAAAAATTACAAGGGAGTTGTGGTCAGATAAGTAGTTGTGTGAATCATCATTCAAGTAGAGTGTAGAGGGAGTCTATACTGTAAACCCTTGGATGATGTATGAGTTGTTCACATTAATGAAAGAGATCTGAAGGGAGAGTGGGACGCTCTCCTGAAGATTCAATTTTCAGTGAAACACTGCTTCCGCAATTGTTTGAATCTTCATTACAGTCTGTCTATTCAATTTACGTGCAACTGTGGATACTTGGTGTTCAAGTATCAAAATTCAACCTCTTCCATCAACCGAGAATCTCTAGCCTCGCCGTCGACCAGCCATAGGGGAGATGGATGTTGCCGAAGAAAGTGAGGAGGATGTGGACAACATACCTCTCCGCACCTTAATTCCCCCTTCTCGAACTGATCATGTACCTAATCGGCCATCGTCTTCTTCGACCACACCTGCCCGTATGTAACGCCCCGTTTGATTATGAAT